CACCACTGAAGTCTCTTTCAAAATCTTTAACTGCATCCTTCACCTTTTCTCAAGACAGAAATTATTTATAGATCAGTTACATGGTGTCATTTTAACCTTATTAGTTTCAGCTCACTATTTTGAAACATATTTATCACATGGATTTGAGAATCAAGAAGGCACATGCTTCATCAATTCAAAACATTTCATAAGTCATTATTAATCTAGTCCCTTAAAAATATTTCTATTAGAGGGGCGCCTGGGTGGCTCAGTCTGTTAAGCAACTGACCTCGGCTAAGGTCATGATCTCGCGGTTTGGGAGTTCGAGCCCGCTGTGCTGGCAACTCAGAGTGCTTCGGATTCTGTGTCTCCCTCTCTCTCTCTCTGCCCCTCCCCTGCTTGCGCTCTCTCTTTCTCAAAAAATGAATTAACATTAAAAAAATTACAAAAATATTTTTATTAGAAGATTTGTCTGTCAACAATAACCTCTTTTCAAGAGTACCTTTAAAAGTACCTTTCAAAAGAATTCCAATTTAAAAAAATGAGGCCACAATAGAACTCAAGATTGTAAACTTATGGATGGTCTGTAGATATATTCAGACGTTGGTGAAAATTCTGATTTCACTCTGTGATATTAGACAAGTTTCTTGATTTTCCTACACTTTAGCTTATTCATTTGTAATGTACAGTTAGGCAATGTTCAACATCCAGTTTTTTGACAATTTCATAAAACTTCTCTGCGAACATATGGTAAGCAAGGCACTTTTCATTATACAACTGGATTTTCAATACAAGTTTTAAATACAGAGCATTCAGAGTAACTGGGTTTAGCTCAGTTGTATTTGTTCACATAGTTCTTTTGCATTTTTCCTAGTATCATAATACTTTCTGGGTATTTCACTAAAAATCACTTTTAAAAATCATTCTTTGGCTACACTTAATTTAAGCATAATTCAAATGGGACATTGTTTTTCTATTTTAGGTCAAGCCATATGAAACTCCTGATACTTAACAATTTTCTGATATACAAAGACAGCAATACCATATGGTTCAAACTAATACATATGTATGTATTTTATTTCATCAGAGATGATTTGTTAAGCCTAAGGAACTGATAAAAACTGGGGCACAAATTTTGATTCACTGCATGAATGGAATCCATTCAAAGTCTTCTTTATTTTTCCAGACAAGTTACTACTACCTGGAAATATATATTTCACGTATTATTTAAAAGATACTTTTGAGTACCTAATAAGTATCAGGCACTCTTCCAGGCACTGAAAATGAAGCAATGAATAAAAGTAAAAAATTCCATCTTATCTCCTCTCACTTCAAGTGAGAGAAAAAGACACACACTTACTATATTAGATAGTGATAAGTACTAAGGAGAAAAAATAAAGCTGGGGAAATGGATATAATGTCAGGTGAAGAGTGTACATGCAATTTTAGATGGGATGGCAAATTAGGTCCTGAATGAGAAAATGACTGGACTAAAGGACCCTCAAAACTGAGAGACCTAGCCATATAGGTATCTGGGGTAAAATCTAAACTTGTTACCTCCACTGTCATAAGCTCCCTGAGGACAGGGACTTTGTTCTAAATTATTTTACTGCCAGTCCAGCATGTATAATGGTTCCTATTGTATTGTGGACACTCAACAGAATATCTGCTGAAAAGCTAGTTAATGGAAAACTTGTATTTATATTTATATAAACAAATACATATAAGTGCTTAAACACACACACTGCAAATTGTTTTTACCACAACTGATAACCAATAGCCTTTCCACATCTGTTTTCATGTACTATCTCTTGTGGATTATTCATAGTTGGTTGCCACTGAATGTAGTTATAATTAAGTAAGACTTATAATAACTTCTCAATATCTATTTTCTGTTACAGTTTAAATTCTAGGAGACTAGGAGCCAAGTCTGTCTTGCTCATCACCAATCTCCAGATTACACCCTGCCTGATACATAATATTCTGTCAATCTTCAAAAAAGGAATGAATGAATGAATGAATGAATGAATGAATAACAAAGGTCATAAAGGATTAAAATCAGAGAATAACTTAAGGAAACAGTATAAAGTTTAGCTTGGAACAGTTGGGCATAATGCAATAAGTTATGGTGAAACAGAACATTGACTTAAGAGGCTGATCTATTAGTTGATATCTTATTTGGAATAGTGAGAGGGGCTACTGGGATATGAATGGCATATGATGTTTTCCTAATTAAGAGCCATTAAAATTTTCCACTAGCCAAAACTTGGCTCCTCTTTTATTACAAAAGGAGTTCTGTCAATGAGATAATTTCTCCTACAGAAAGGGTTATGGGTAGAATAGAACTTAATAATCAACTATTCAATTTGACTGTTTGTACTTCTAAGATAAAAAAAATACTGCAGAGTATCAGCTTAATCAGCACTTACTGATATAGCTTAATCAGTAATCAACAATCTGGCCTTGAAGACTGCCATGTGATATATGTTTTATTATTCAGAAGTTATCAATATTGATCTCTAAATTTCAAAAGATGATTAACTTTAAAGAAATCAGATCAAGTCACATGATAAGGTATTTCCTTAAAGTTGCAATAAAAATCATGAAAAACCCACTTAAGAATAAATTCTAAATCAATAAATTACCTTAGAAAAAGTTACAAAGAAAAAATAAATAATGGGTTGCATAGAATATACTCAAGTTTAGTTAGGATATATTAATATTCAACTCATACTAATAAGCCTTTAAACATATGCAATGTTGAGAAATGGGTAAATATCATCCTACGATTTAATGAATAAGTGAAATTGATTTTACTGCCACCTGGCAAATCTATTTCTGATTTTGTTTTAGCATCTGAAAAAATCACCACATATACATATCTATTCTCTGTGAGGAGTTGAGAAGGGTCAAATCTACACTTCTTTATGTGCTAGTACAGTGCAGCAAACTATATTAACAATGTCTCTTCCTCCAGGGAGTCTTTCTGATTCCTACGACTATGTTGTCATACACTCTGGACATATCCTCCACTTCACCTTCACACTGTTGACTAAACAGATTTATAATGATTTTTCAAAGTGCCTTCATCACTTGACTATAAATTTCATGAAGAAAAGGGCCATGCAACTATTTCCTCAAGTGTTAAGGGCCCAGTTTGACTCCCTTTATTTCCCACACTGGTATCATGCAATAAATGGTATTTTCATGTTGACATTAATGATTATAGCTCTCTAGGGTCTTCCAACTACCATTTACTAAATCTCTTCCCAACTCTTCTACTTTTACCTTAAATTCAGGTGTTTCTAAACATCCTAGCCTACGCTCTCTTCTCTAGTCATGCTGTCTATGTGGTTTTGTTCAATCACTCCTAAGGCTACAACTATTACCTGTAGCTAGCCATGGTAGGCTTTTACACTGGAGGCTTTTCAGTATTCATACCCTTGTCTAGTTACCTCCCTTTTGAATTTAGACCATTCTTGGGAGAAGCTTTAAATAAAAGAATACAGCAGAAGTGACACTGAGCCAGTTCTGGACTAAACATTAAGAGTCCTGGCAGATTTGATTTTTGTATGTTTTGTTGGAGTCTTGGGCCACCACATAAAAATTCTTGCTAACCTGCTAGAGAGATCACACAAAGAAACCGTGGAGCAAGGAAAAGGCTCTGAGACTACATGGAGAAAGATAGCTGTCCCTGCATCCCAGGCTAAGCCCAACTTCTGAACAACCCACAAGCTCAGTGCGGCCACATCAATGGCCACTAGTGAAACCAATAGAAGAACCACCTGGATGAACCTAGTTCAAATTGCAGAATTATGAGTAATTAAAGCATTTGCTCTTTGAAGCCACTTAGTTTTAGGCTGGTATGTCATAAAATAGATAAAACAGCTAGTAAATTCAAAATCTAATCTCTAGCCCTGATCACTCTCTAGAGATAACAGACCTAATTTCAAACTCTAAATTTAAATTTCCATATAGATATCAACTGCATTTCAAATTCAACATTTGCTAAAATGGACTTCAGTATCTCACCTATTTCCTATCTAATACTGTGTAGGCTGCTGATTTTAAGTTTGTATTCCTCAGGATTCTTTGGCTCTGGAGTATCTCCAGAGATTTCTTCTATAACAACCCAGATGGATATGTTCCAATTCCATTTCTTAGTCCCATCATATCATGGGTCACAAAAACTAACTGTAACCTCAGAAATAATTTAACCAAATTATTGTCCAATAAAAAAAAAAAAAACACCTACATACAAGCAAAGTACAAAGAGACACTCTTTATCTATATGACTTTGGGCAAGTAACTAACATTTTGAACCACAATTACCTCGTGATATACAAGAGTTTGGGTGTAAATGATCTGATTTTACAACAGAAATTAAGATTTCATTTTTATAATGACATTTTGAATGTAGTAAATTACTAGAGGCAACACAGTGCAGTGGTTAAGAGCACAGAGCCTGGGTTCAAATCCTTGGAGAAGTTATAGAGCTATTACTGTCAGAACCAGGATTTGAACCAAGATTCTGCCAATTAATAGCTCTGTAACTTTTCCAAGCCTCAATTTCCTAATCTATTAAATGGATATAAAAATAAGTTTATAGGGCTATTATAAGAATTAAATGAGCCAATATTTCTAAAATACGTAGAATACTGTAGAACATATAATTTTTAAATACTTCTGGTTTCTTCAGAAAACTGTAATCACATGTTTGTTTTTTTAATGTACCATATAATAGACTAATCACTTTATTTTCATAAATGTCATTCCTGAAATGTCTCTAAGATACCAACATTTAATATAATTGGTTTCTACTTAACCAAAATTCCTGCCTTTAGATCACTGATATTTTTTTAATAAGGTAGTATATACTTTGTGATACAGTAGATTATTAGATATAATAAGAAATCTTAAATGATGTGGGTTTGTCTTAATCAGGAGTAATAAATATTATTTTCTCATAAAGAATGTTATATCCGTTTCATAAAACAACTTAAAAAAGATTTACTACTTACCACTGATTGTCTTAGGCTTTTTAGCTATATATTCTCTCCATTTTCTTGAACTGAGTTGGCTGGGAGGTGGAATAAGTATGTTACTAATAGTACATGGCAATACAAAAAGAGCACCGACCTGGATAAAACATAACATATTATTAGTGCCTGCACAATGACATTAATTCTTAAATAGTGTCATCTGATAAATTTCCACTCTGATTTCACCGATATAGCATGTACTCTGTAATGCTCTCTCACAACAACTCCACTAAAAAAACTAGAAGAACAAAAACAATGCCCAAACTGTATTTAAAAAAAAGTCAAAAACCAGACAAAGGTAGTCAAACATAGGCTCCCTTTTCCACTCAGTTATATATCTCTGAAACCTTGTTATTCACAATATTTGCTTCAAGTTCAGGTTGTCGTGTCATTTCTTTGTGTATCTGCAAACCAGTGAGAGGCTGGGAATTGAATTCTATCATCAAAAGATTTTTGTCATACTTGGCCATAATTTTACAACCTTTTGACTGGATGGATTATTGTTCTGGTTTCAAAATTACAATATACCTGTAGGTAATTTCAAAACTTTTGTTCCGAGAAATCAGAAATTTAATGCTAATAAGGTATAAAATGCAAAGAAACCCCAAATCATATGCCAGAAAACATACAGCAGCTTCTGTCTGATTTATGAGAAAACTCAGCTTATTCATCTTTGTATTCCCAGGGCTGAGCATACAGATGTTTATTAAATATTTGTTCCCCCCAAACCAACTTGTTATATTTAGGTAAATTCTCAATTTGATTAAGTACTGAATAAAACAAACTGCAACTCTGAAAGCTACATTTTGCCCATTATTCTAGAAATATAAGCTACAACAATCAGTATATCCCAATAAATATGTTTTGTTTTGTTTTGTTTTTAACTCTGGGGAAATCTAAGCAAGACATTTGCCATAGATCTCAAATATAATGAAAAGTCACTTTTAACTGTCCTTTGTAGATGGATGAATCAGATGACATGTGATACTAAGTGAATACTTTTATGTATTAGTTTCTTTACTATTTATTATCTTTAGCTATGTATTCTTAGATATACAAATAAGTATATTAGGAGCAATTAAGAAAGAAAAAATTAAATGTTTATTTTTGTTATTACAGACAAATCTTTTTTTATTCTAAGTCAAATGTATTTCACATAATTAAGTATTAGACACTAAAAATGAAAATATTACCAATAGAAAATAATCATTAAGTATAAAAGATGTATATTTAACTTTTGAAACACTAAATCCTAGTTCTTCATACTTACATAAATAAATAAGATTAGATAGCCCAAAACTGGCCCAAAAGATAGACAAAGTTGTAACTTGAGTATGCTAGAGCAGAGCCCAGTTAACACCTTCATTATTTAATATTATAGTTATAGCTTAATAAATTAGAGATGTTAAATGTGTTTCAAAGTACAACTTAAATACCGTATTATTTATTTTATATTATTATATGTCCCACCCAGCCAAAGTAGCCCTATGTTTGAAACAGCTTATTCTTGAATACACATTCATTACAAATATGAAAATAAATATTTCTAAATCCCATAAACTATAATTTGCTACAAAATATATGTATGTCAATTGCTTATACTGTGTCCATAACAAACCTGGATTCTGATAACCCGTTCTCACTCATGCACTAATCATTAGATATGCTCTGAGACCAGAGGATGGTGCTTCTAGGTTATCATTCTATCTCCAGAATTTAAAAACCAAATAATATTTCAAACCTGTGTCTCAAAACCATGATTCAGTCTTTTCAGTAGGCATCCCCTGAACAAACAGGCACTATGGCAATCCTGTTTTTAACCTTGCAAATTCTCCTCTTAAAAAAAAGATTTCCTGCCTATGTGATTAGTAGATATCATGGTTCCCTAACAATCCTCGTATCTTTTACTAATCTAATAACATTAGCTTTACTATAAAAGGTTTTTATTTTTCTTCTGGAGCTAATCTAACATTTTTTTTTTTTTTTTTAAGTCAGAAGTTGACTTAAGATCATATAAATCACTATGCGGTGCCTGAATGGCTTGGTTAAGCGTCCGACTCTCGGTTTCAGCTCAGGCCATGATCTCAAGGCTTCATGGGTTTGAGTCCCACATCAGGCTCTGCGCTGGCAGTGCGGAACCTGCTTAGGATCCGATCTCTCTCCCTCTCTCTCTCTGCCCCTCCCACCTTGTGCTGTCTTGGTCTCTCTCAAAATAAATAAACTTAAAAAATTTTGAAGATCATATAAATCACTAGAATTTAAGTACGATGAATGCTTCCTAAGGAGGGGCTTTGTCCATTTTATTCTCTCCAGTACCTGAAACAAGCAGCCGGCACATAGCAGGCAGTCTCTCCCCAGCCCCCACATGCAAATTGTTGAATAAACAAATGAAAACCAAGTTATGAAGCAAAAGAATTATTTCAAAGAATGAGCATGCAAATGAAAACTAATTTTTTCAAAAATGTAAAAGACCCAATATAAAAGGAAAATACAGTGCTTCACATTTAGAGGTATGTTAGCTAAATTATGTTTCAAAAAAATATCCCTTTTGCTGCATTAAAGTAGGAACATATATACAAAGTTCCATCATTTATTTGTCCCTTACTGATAAAGAATATTTCACAGTCGTTGTCCAAGAAGCAATAAAAATGACAATCTAATATACCAAATTTAGAAAATTGAAAACACGATATAAATATCAATAGTTTCTTTTGCTTATAGTATTAGTGTTGTCTATCTTCAATAACTTGATGGATTAAGGATTATTTTATACCTGTGTTAAATTGCAGGTCTGTGTCTGATCTTGACTTGAAAAATTATCTATAAAACTAATTCCTAAAAGTTTCATCTTATCTTTAAAACATCTAGAGGATATTTGGTGCTTTATATCCTTTTCAGGAAAGTATTTCATATATGCCTGTCTATCTTTTGGACCAGATAAACTTCAAAGACCATAAAAATTGGGGCACCTAGGTGGCTCAGTCGGTTAAGTGTCTGACTTCAGCTCAGGTCATGATCTTGGGGTCTGTGGATTCGAGCTGTGCTGACAGCTCAGAGCCTGGAGCCTGCTTCCGATTCTGTGTCTCCCTCTCTTTGCCCCTCCCCCACTCACATCTCTGTCTCTCAAAAAGTAAATAAACATTAAAAAATTTTTTTAAAAAAGACATAAAAATTAGCAACCATCATTTATGTCATACTTCACAGCTTATAAAATATCTTCCAATTTGGTTTTCATTACAACTTTTGAAATAGGTAAAACAGGGATTATTAATTACAGTTTACAATTTTAAAAGCTATAAGCCAGTGAGTGGCAGAGCTACGACTTAAACCCAAGTTTTCTAAAGTACATACTCTTTCACTTGAGACTTTCTACCCTACCATGGTCCTCCCTTCCCTTATTCGGTAACAGGTGAGATTATTAATGATAAATGATATTCTCATTTCCTAGAATGAAGAGCCCCCCCCCCCCCACCCAAATTAGATGAACTAGATAAGGTTACACAGAGAACTATTTAGTTACTTGGGTTAAAACAAAGACAAAATGGGGTGCCTGGGTGGCTCAGTTGGTTCAGCATCTGACTCTCACTTTTGGCTCACGTCATGATCCCAGGGCTGTGGGATGGAGCCCTATGCTGGGCTCCACACTGAGCTCAGAGCCTGCTTAAGGTGGTCTCTCTTTCCCTCTGCCCCTGCCCCACCCCACCCCACCCACCCCTGCTCACACTCTCTCTGTTAAAAAAAAGAAAAGAAAAGAAAAAAAAGGAAGATTTTTTTTTTATTCTTCATGCTTTCTTCTTTTTTCTTTCTTTCTTTTCTACTATGCCACTTCACAAGACTTCTGTGTGCATATTTTTGTAAAGATGTTTAAAGTAGGTCCTCCACCCTATTACACTAATTGCAGTCGGCTTATTTTCTTCATAATTCTTATTATTTGTTTTCTGTTTTTCCCACCAAAATGTAAATTCCATGAGGAGAGTCTTCATCTGTGCAATCCATCACTAGATCCCTAATATCTACCACAGCGTCTAGCACATAATAGGATACATGTTGGATAAATAAGAAAAGATAAGTTTTAAAATTTCAAATTTTAGCATATTAGGTATTCTTTAGAGGATGAAAACACAGGCTAATATCACACTTCAGGCTGTTCCTTCAAAGGCTACTTCATCTAACAAATACTTTGGGGCACTACTCAAAATTTTAATTTCCTGGAAAAAGAGGCTGCAAGTCAAAATTTGAAATTACTGTATAGTCAAGCATCTTAAGGCCAAAATCATATTTCTGTAACCATATCAATTTTCTAAGGGAACTATAACCAATATTTGATTATAGTGCTATAGGGAAACTATAATTTTTCTCCATGCAACTCTGTTTGAAATACTTCATTGTTAAAACAGTTAATGTTATATAAATATTGCCAATGAATATTCTGTGAATCAAAAATTGTTTTCAAAGAAACACAGTAGTGAAACAAATAACCAGAAAGAAAAGCAAACTTCTGGTTTTTCCCATTAAACACTGTAGTTGACTTTAAATAGATGAGTTTAATATACACATGTATCTAAATAACTATAAATTATTAATAACTACATTATATAAATAACTACAAAATAGCCACAAATCTTATAACCATCACTAGAATTAAGAAAGAAAAACTGAAAATTTACAAATGATAATTCAGTGAGGCTTTAGAAACTTTTCTCACTTCCACCCACCTGTCCTACCATGAAAAAGATAATGCAAGCATATGAGTATCTCCTCACCTAACTGAAATCACATGTTGAAGGATTAGATTGTTGAAGTAGATTATCAATAATATAATATGGTCTCAAATTTTAAAAGTAACAAAATCACCAGTCATGAAGCTTATCTTTGAAAATCTAAAAACACAACATCATTTCCTGTCTGCAGAGGACTTTGGTATTATTATGGGAAGTCCAAAATATTTTAATATCTGTTAGGACCAAAATCACGTTATGTTCAAGAAGCAAAATCATTATGCAAAAACAGATTAACAAACTACATTCTCTTTTATTCTTTCTTTTTTTTTTTTTAATATATTTTAGAGAGAGAGAGAAAGCGAGCAAGCAAGCAGGGGATAGGGGCAGAAGGAGAGAAAGAGAGAGAGAGAGAGAGAGAGAGAGAGAGAGAGAGAGAGAGAGACACCCAAGCAGGCTCCATGATCAGCACAGGGCCCAACACGGGGCTCGATCCCATGACACTGGTATCATGACCCGAGCCAAAACCAAGAGTCATACACTCAACCGACTGAGCCACTTAGGGGCCCTATATTTCCTTTTTCAGCACATCCTTAAAACAAAACAAAACAAAACACCACCATACCTTGCCACGCAGAGAAGAAATCTGCTCCCATAGCAACATGGAATTTTGTTTGGTATTGTTTTGTGTCAACCCTCTGCATTAAAGTTAAAGAAATGATACAATGGTAACTGAGAAATAATTCAACTCCCTAAAACAAGTTTGATTCTCTAATTCACAAGGTGCTTAAATTATTAAAAATTTTAACTGTAAGAATTCACAATTACTCCTTTCCTTAAGGAAAATTATTTTTATAATACTGAAAATATACCAAGAAATAATGCTTCTATGAAAAGCATTCCCATACACTATGAGAAAAAGAGATTTGTAAAAATTATGTTTCTGCACAAAAATTTAAGAACACCATGCTAATGTTCCATTTCCAGGCAACAATTTCTTTTTATACAAAATGTTCTGTTCTTAGGTATATTTCTAAAAACTCTTTCCTTAAAAGAGAGTCTAAGATATGTTGAATATTTGCAGGTATGTGAGATGGCATTTATATTTACCTTAGTATGCATACAAAGATACAGTGGACTGGTGCTTATATACCCCTCCTGCCGAAGGCGAGAGAAACATCTGAACATTTCAGGAGTATGTAAGTTACTGTTTTTCTCCACAGATTCCTAACATTTCTCCATTCTCCCTACCCCATTAATGATGAGTAGCAATACCAGAAAGTCTTTTGCCTATTCTAGACGCATAAATCTAGTACTTGAAGGAAGATTTTTTTGTTTTTGAAAATTGCAGAATATCTCTTAAAACAATGGCAATGAAAAATATACTGAATATTATTAAAGAAAAAAAATCCATCATGGTCCAATATCTAAAAGTGAAGGAAACATTCTACGTGACACAGCAAATATAATCTAAAATGAATACATAAATAAAAGGATACAATTCAAATTCAATGTCTGACATATAGCAGGAGGGCAGATCTGATAATTTTATTATCTGCACAAATTCTAAAGCAGAGCCATAATAATGGAAAACCTAGGAAAGAAATAAGATTATGTAATACTTTAAATTCTATAAATAAAATAAACGTAAATAAATTAGCAATTAGGGCTTAACACTAAAATGGATGTTTAAAAGCAAGTATTTACACATTATGCAAGCCAAACATTAGATCCTCTATAGCAGACAAGAGTTTCTTCCATTCTAATTTTACCTTTCAGAGTAGAGACAGACATAGAGATTTCTTAGTAACTGAAGAGTTTTAACAGAGGGAAAATGAGTCTAGAAAGAGGCAAGCAATAGAAGACAGGAGTTCTCAACTTTTCGTGTTTATTTTCAGTAAGACAGACAGATGACCCAAGAGGCTAGGATGTTGAAGAAACAAATTTAGAGGGTCTGCAAGACTGAGAGAGAGAAAGAGAAGATTCTCTGGTATGAACTTAGATTGAGTGGTATGTTGAGATTAATAAAATAAAATAAAAATAAAAATAAAATAAGATTCTTCAAAGAAATGCTGAAGAAATTAAGAGAACCAGTGAAGCCATTAGTCCTAATTAGCAAAGATAGCTCCACTTGGAAAAATAAACTTGCAGTATTTCTTTGGGCAGAACCTAACAGTGAAGGAGGACAGGTATTTTAAGAGTTGAGATGAGAGTATGTCACTGGAAGGACAAAGAAAAGCAAACATATCTTGAGGAGACTACACAAAGTTTTAAACTTGCAGAAAGCTGAGTAATTTCACCATATACAATTATGCATATATATACACATAAAGACACACATATACTTACAGAGTATATGTGTATGTGTGCATATATACACGTGTAGAGAGAGAGAGAGAGAGAGAAACAGAGACATTTATTAAAGAGGTTTTACCCTAAGATTTCCATCGATAGCAGCAAAATTTAAATACATTATTCATATTTGAATAATGAATGAATGAATAATGAATACAATATTCATATTATTAGAAAAAAAACTATTAACAGTCCTGTGAAAGATGGCCATGGTAGTTTACTTAAAGTAACCATTCTGAACAAATATTGGGAAATGTGTTCACATCAGAAATATGCCCCTTTTATACTAACCTTTGATCAGAAAATATTACCCATCAATCTGACATCATTGTAACTTCATGACTGTTGTTTTGTACATTCTTGAATTCTGTCTTTCAAAGTGAATTTCTAAAATGTTTCTACATAAACACATCTTACGTTATTTTTCTAATATAAAAAAAAGGTCAACTAAACCCTTTTAAAATTGTTTTACTTTATAATTACCTGCATTTTAAGAATAAATCTATGGAGATATGGGACACAAACTAACACATCTTAAACTGTGAAAGAAGCAAACGTATGGTACTGGAATCCCTTACCTCATTTAAACTTTGTAATAACTTTGTAAGGTAAGTGTGTTCTTGTCTCCATTTCACAAATGAATTAATCAATCTACCCAGGTTACCACAACTTACAGGTAACAGAGCCAGGTTTCAAACCCCGGTCTACCCAGCATCAAGGCCTGCTCTTTTTCCAGTGTATCACATTCCCCCCGAACTGAGTCTTAAAGGTCTCATAGCAAAGTCCTAACCAAAGGAAGTTTCAGGCCTATATTGATCTAAGGTTAGGATCATTCCATTTTAAAAATAACTTAAAGTAGTGATAGTTTTGCTAATAACATAGTGTAATTTAAGCACTTAATTACAGTTATAATAAAAATTATGCAAGTGAGCACATTTAAGCACATATACTAGGAATGTTAATTTCAAGATTCAAAGATATCTTATAAGAACAAAAATATGCCTGAATGGATGACTGGAAAATGAATTAAATATAGATTACCTTTGGTAAAATATTCTTATCCTTTGATGGTAATGTCTTTTTGGCAAGAATGCAAGGATTTAAAGTAGATGTACTAAAATTCTTAGGAGTGACTCCCTTTAAACAAAATTCAGGAAAAATAATTTCAGATCCAAACTGAAAAGAAACCAAGAGAACACAGTTACAAATATCATGAATAAAGTTACAAAGATCAATACATCTTAATGCGATGTAAAAGTTAAGAAAACCACATGTAAATATATTTTTGATTCCTCAGCTCAAAATGTGATTCCTCCATTTATGAACACATCCTTCCTGTTTCAACTTACACATGGATCTTTTTATGAAAAGCTCTCATTGGCCCTACAGCAGCCCACAAGAGTCTATTAAGGCCATTCCATGCAACCACAGAACCAAACAACCTCCTTTACATATACTTGTTCAATATCTGGCTTCCTACCAGTCTGTAAGCTCTGCAAAACACAAGCCTGTCTGTCTTATTCACCACAAATCCTTAGGACAACGCCTCATACATAGTTTGCTTTCAAAATAAGTTGGCAAAAAGACCAATTCCTACAGAAGTAGTAATAGTAGAGGTGTTAATAGTAACGGTAACAATGAGAGCTAATATTTAATGAGTGGTTACTTTGTACTTTACATAATTTAACCTTTACAAAAATCTATGAGGTAGGAACTATTATTACACTTATCTTACAGATGAAGACAACTGTGGCACCAAATGGCTAAATATTGCCCTATAGGTCACACAAAATTAGCAAGAAATAGAGTAGGGATTTGAATGCTGACAATCTAACTTTAGAATCTATGTCTTTGATCACTACAATGCACCTACATTAAAAGCTATTCTCCACCAAAGCAAGTGATTTCAAGTTGTAAATGCATCCTGTGGGGTACGAACATTTAATTTCCTATTCATAAAACAATAGAAGAATTGCATGAAAAGAACCCTGCCCTTATTTGTCTGTATGCAAACATGCAGTTTCAAAAAATGTATACAAAACCAATTCTCATCGTTAATTTTATCTTACACTCTTCCAGCTGACTGTGTGGCTTGTTTATGTTAAAATCACTTGCAGAGGTTTGCCTGTAGGTTTAACTTTCCAAGGTAAGGATGAGGCAGCATGAAAATCAGCAAGAAGGACCCAATCACATTAATTCCTATTTTCTTAGCACAAGTTTTACTAAGCCATAATTAAGCATGAATTGAAAAGGAAAAAAAAAATCTACTAATTAGTGCAATAAATCTTCATAGAAATGCAAGGCCTAACTCATGCTCCCATGTCACCCTGAACATTAAGAAACTTTCTTTGGTTTTGCCTATCTTCAAAAATATATACAATACTAGAAATATATTTATTTTAATATGGACATAACTTACAAAAGCCACCAAACATATTCATTCATTGTAAGAGATAGCAAAATAAAATTGGAGCCTCACAGAAAGTTAAGATTAGTGGGGCTGAACTAATCAGTTTCATCTTGTAGTTGAGAAATCTGGGATCGTGTAAGGTTACAAAAAAGAGTTCAAATTAGAGAGCTGGCAAAGTAATCTTGAAAAAGAAAACCAAAGCAGGAGGCATCACAATCCTGGACTTCAAGCTGTATTACAAAGCTGTAATCATCAAGACAGTATGGTACTGGCACAATAACAGACACTCAGATCAATGGAAAAGAATAGAGAACCCAGAATGGACCCACAAACGTATGGTCAACTAATCTTTGACAAAGCAGGAAAGAATATCCAATGGAATAGAGTCCTTCAGCAAATGGTGCTGGGGAAACTGGACAGCGACAAGCAGAAAAATGAACTTTCTTACACCATACACAAAAATAAACTCAAAATAGATGAAAGAAAGACTTAAATGTAAGACAGGAAGCCATCAAAATCCTCAAGGAGAAAGCAGGCAAAAACCTCTTTGATCTTGCCCGCAGCAATTTCTTACTTAATACGTCTCTGGAGGCAAGGAAAACAAAAGCAAAAATGAACTACTGGGACCTCATCAAAATAAAAAGCTTCTGCACAGCAAAGGAAACAATCAGCAAAACTAAAAAGCAACCAACAGAATGGGAGAAGATATTTGAAAACAACATATCAGATAATGGGTTAATATCCAAAATCTATAAAGAATTCATCAAACTCAACACCCAAAAAACAAATAATCCAGTGAAGAAATGGGCAAAAGACACGAATAGACGCTTCGCCAAAGAAGAAATCCAGATGGCCAACGAACACATGAAAAAACGCCCAACATCACTCATCATCAGGGAAATACAAATCAAAACTAAAATGAGATACCACTTTACACCTGTCAGAATGGCTAACAACAATTCAGACACAACAGATGTTGGTGAGGATGCAGAGAAAGAGGATCTCTTTTGCACTGCTGGTGGGAATGCAAGCTAGTGCAGCCACTCTGGAAAACAGTATGGAGGTTCCTCAAAAAACTAATAATAGAACTATCCTACGACCCAGCAAATACACTCCTAGGTATTTATCCAAGGGATACAGGTGTTCCATTTCAAAGGGGCACATGCACCCCAGTGTTTATAGCAGCACTATCAACAATAGCCAAAGTATGGAAAGAGCCCAAATGTCCATCAACGGATGAATGGATAAAAAAGATGTGGTATGTATGTACATATATGCACATATATGTATGTGTGTGCATGTACATGTGTGCACATATATGTGTATGTGTGCATGTGTGT